AAGAAAACGAGAACAGGTCAAACCTGTAGAATATTGTAATAATAATATTAATAATATTGTAAAATGTGACAGGCGGTGTTGCTTCTTTTGCTTAAGTACAAGATGAGACTCTCGCTCCAATAAGAAATCAGATTCCTGACAGTGCTCAAACACTCAAATAGGACCTGATCACTCACCAAAAAGCGCGTTGGAGAAACCGTACCACCGGCACCCGTAGGAGCCGGTCAGCCACCTGCCGCGCACGCTGGCCGCGAAGCTGAGCGGAATCCCGAAGATGCAGACGAGCATGTCGCTGGCGCTGATGTTGATGAGCAGCAGGTTCACGGGGGTCTGCAACCGGGGGAAGCGCGAGAAAACCACCAGTACGAGGAAGTTACCGAGGAAGCCCAGGACCAGGATGAACCCGAGGACCACGGCGGCCGCGGTGTGACCGGCCCGGCTCAGCGCGCCGGCGGCGGGGTCCGACACGGAGCTGAGCCCGGTGCTGAGGTTGTTGCTATGCTGCGCTAGGATCACCATGGCAACGTGGTTATCCCTGTAGGGTGACTTAAATCGGAGACAGAAGTTATAAAACAAAGAAAAAAATGACGGTTTTTGTTATGTTACTCTTGGTAATGTTGGTAATGTTGGTATGTTGGGGCAGAAAACACACATATTCAGCTCAATGAGGAGAAATACACCACCACAAGATGTTTAAATACTCTGGAGGAGGGGATGAACGGGGTTCACACACACACACACACACACACACACACACATTGTGTTCAATACAAACCTGACAGACCCTCAATGAGAATGAAATACTTGGAAAAACAAAAGAATACAAATAGGAAGAAGTCTGACTTAATTTTAATTAATTATATCATTGTTAACACAGTTTTAAGGCAATAAAATTATAAGATAGGTGATTTTTTTTTTTTCTGGCTATACTGACATTTGTGGAAAAAACCCAGAACATAAATAAGACCAGCAAAGAAACCAAAACATTAGTCATAACGAATCCTTAAATCACAGTTTCTATAGAATAGAAAAACATCTTCAAACCTTTCAAAGAGACAAAGGACGGACTCCCACAAAGAAAGAATGAAAGAAACAATCCCACGAAGGTGCAGACGCTAACATGTTGCTGTAGACGACCATCAGAAACATCATTGTCTTTATTCTGTTCTGTTATTCAGCCTTTATTCTAGACCAGATTGGAGACCTAAATAACTGAGCCAACATATCAATAATACAAGCTGTGGTTGACTCAGTGGACGAGCCAAGAAGACAGTAACTGATGAGAGGACATGAAACTGATGGACAATCACAAGACACTGCTGTTTGGTGAGTTTAAATGTTTCTGCAATATCATTTTTTTTAAAAGCTTTTTATAATTATTTATTTTTATTTTAATTAAAGGACCAGTGTGTAGGATTTAGTGGGATAGTGATAAAGTTGCAGATTGTAACTAATCACACACAATGACACTGGTTTGTTACCTCTTCCTTTGACCACCTTTATTAACCTTCAGTGATGCCTCTCCTTGTTTGTTACTTTGCTTACACACATATGTGCAACCTTCATCTCATGCACACACCCACACACACATCCCTTGAACCTGCAGCTCAAGTTTATGACCTCTTCCATTCAGTATGTCCTTCCACTTTACACAATCATTGATCCAGTTACACAACACACACACACACTCTTGAGTCAGGTTACTCTTAGTTGGTCGAGGAAGAAAAAGGACCGGAACAGCATCACGTGCAGTCACCTCGACCCAGTGTGGCCGCCCACACAGCCATTGTGCCGACGTGAAGCTACGCCACAGTTCATCCACTGTAATTAAAGCTGTCATGGGGGTGGACAGGTTTCTGTGGGCCTGATCAGGTGAGCGGCAGACGTTTCTTAGCCGGCTGCACGTGCCACGATGTGTCTTTCTTATTATCCATTATCAGTGATTATTAGGAGACACTGAGGGTTTCTCTGACAGTAAGGGTTGTTTATTTATTGTTCCAATGTGATGGAAGGATTTTATTGATATTATATATTTTATGCATGATTTAATGTGGGAAGTGTCATGAATTCTTGTTGCCCATCGTTACTGTTGGGCAGTAACTCATTACTAGTTATAATAGTACTTTTCCCTGTAATTATTAGGGTAGCTAATTACTAATACTTTTCAGTAATAATATTACAGTTACTCCTCCTAAATAATTAGTTACTATATTACTTTTGTTGTCACCTCCCTACTGATTTGAAATCCAACAATCCAATCACATCCTTGGATTAATGTTTGTAATTGTGGAGGAAACTAATGATGGAAAGATTCAGCAGCTGGAAATATTCACATTACTTTGATTTAAACAAACAAAACTGGATTTTAATCGTTGTAAGTCTGAACTTTAGGGAGAAAGGACACAATTACTAATTTTGTGGTAAGAAAAGTAATATAACTAGTAGTGTAACTAATAACTGTTGGAAGGGAGTAATAAGTAAAGTAATTAAATTGGTTTTTAAAAGAGTAATGAGTAATACATTGCTTTTTTGAGTAACTAGCCCAACACTGTTAATAAATAATGAAGTCACTTTGACTTTATGTGATTAATAGAACATCAGTTAATTAATATTGATTCCAATGGTGGAAGAAGTTCTCATATGTTTTACTACAGTAACAGTAGAAATACTCAGTTACAAGTAAAATTCCTACATTCAAAATATCACTCAAAGACTCCTCTACAGTCCTGTTACGGCCTTAATGTAACAAAAGTGTAAAATTTGAAAATGAGAACAAGTTTCACCAACTAACAGAGACAACAGCAGGCTTACAGTGCCATCTAGTGGTGAGGCAGGGGAGAGAGCAGACGTACCAAACAGCAAAACATTAGGTTTTATGATTCTGTCTTTACCAGGGAGTTACTGCTGGTTTCTAAAATAAATGTGATAAGTATTCTACTGCCATGAATACTTCTACTGTGAGGTTATTTCATCATTTCACATGAGTTATCTTTAAGGGATGAAGAAGTATTCAGATCTATTCTGTTTATCAGCTTAAAACATCCGTAGTGATTTCGATGTTGTAACACAATAAAAAGAAGAAAAAATCAGAGACAGAGACAGAAAGATATCTTAATATTTTTCTGTTGTAAATGTATTTGAATACATGAATTGCATGTACTCTTCGTTCATTAATTATCTTCAAGCCCATCCTCTGACTGAAGAGTGTGTCATGAAGTAATAAAAAGTAGAATATTTCTCTATGGACTGTAGAGTAGAAATATAAAGCAGCAGAAGCTGAACTACTTTAAAGTCTATACCAACTCTTTAAAGGACCAGTGTGCAGGATTTAGTGGCATCTAGTGGTGCAAACTGCAACTAGTGAATACAGCTCGGCCTTCCAAGTGTTGCAGTGGCTGCAAAACCAAAGAAAAATGTGAAAGGCTCGATGCAGAGCCAGTGTTTGGTTTGTCTGGTGTGGGCTATTGTTGGCCGTTCAACATGGCGACCTTTGGAGAAGAGGACCTCCATAGACAAAGAAAGGTAACAAAAACATACCAATTCTTGTTTTCAGGTGATTATACAATTGTGAAAACATACCTATCAATTTTATTTTTGATTTCTGCTAATAGATCCTCCTAAATGATACAGACTGGACCTTTAATACAATACTAACCTTTTATCACTAGAGGTTAGTGGTTAAGATTAAGTATCTCTGCAGTGAAAACCTACAGACGTCAAATTAATTCATATCGTCCTTCTTTGTCAAATGATAGAATAAAGTAACAAGTAGAATAAAAACTTAAATGAATCTTTCATTTGCTCTTTTGATTATTTTTGTTGTTGTTGGTGGTGGTGGTGGTGCTAAACACCACAGTAAAGTCAGAGTAATCTTATTTGGTAGTAAATATACAGAAACATATACAAAGACATATCAGTATGTTCCAAAAGAACAACAGAGTGTGTGACAGATCAAATCACACATAGACAGTGAACTACACGTACACAACATCCTGACACGAGAAGGAAGCCACTGAAGGTTTTGTGGTTACACAGACAATTCGGCCCCAAATGCTGGTGAATTTAATCTCTTGCCAACGGATGAGAGCCACTTTAATACTTAGGATGTTTTTGTGCACATATGCACCTATATTCATTTTATATTTATGTTTTGCTGTAGTGCAGAGGCTCTTCTCTCTTGCTTTCTGTTAAGGCTGCAGGTTCTGCAGCAGCACATTATAAATAAATAAATACATACAGCAGGAGATATGTTGAAAATCAAACAGGGCAAGCATACAGCAACAAAACAATGCCTGATTTGTTCCATTGTTCTGATGCAAATGGAACACATACTTACAAATACACACACACACACAGACACAGTCACACTGTACTTAACAAAGCTGATAGGCTACTTCAAGCTTAAACAAGCCTTTCAAACAGAGCACAAAGTGTATGAATGAAATAAATTGTGTATATTATTATACAAAACACACTTAATAAGACATCCAGGTCACCCACACCTGACCCCCTCTGGAGTGTTTTATGTCCATAATACTTTATTCTAAGGCAGTGGTTCCCAACCTCTTATATTCAACTGACAATGGATCCAAATAGTGAACAAAATAACTGCAGGAATATTTTCTTGATATTTTTTATGTTCACTTTTTATACAATTATCTATTATGTATTTTTATAGTTTTTAACAAACATACATACTTAATATGCTTATTTTTGGACAGATTCAGTGTTTTATTCTCATTGTTTTATTAGCTCTTCGGATGTTTTCCAATGCAGGATAAGTTTATCAGAGAGTGAAGGCTATGTGAATCAATAAACCATTGGTTCAATATGTTATCAGACATAGAAAAGCTCACATCAACCCTAAAAGATCTGACCCCATTTTATAAACACCTGGTCTCCTTTCTTACAGTTCATCCAGAGCTGATTCCTCTCCACACCATCGCTCCCACTCAGATCTTCTCAACCCCATTATTATAACTCAATCTGACAAAACAACCCACACATAATCTGCATGCCCAACACTACCCATCAAGACTACCCCCACCCACTCACCTCCACCTTTTAGTTTTTATTTTATTCAGTTTTATTGTTCTTTACTATTCTTCCTGCTTTCTTTTTTTATGTTTGTGCATTGTATGCCTATATTTCTGTTGTTGTTTTGTAAATACTGTTATCAGCTTGTGCTAAATAATATATATATATATATTATAAAACAGTGAACTTTGTAATATTGTAAGATTTTATTTGCCTCTCTGTCAAAACTCCATGCATCTTGCATTAAAATGTCATTTCGCTATAGACCATGTACATATTATATTAGATATTAGATATTATTGTTAAAGGGAAAAAAACATTTCTATGTTCAAAAAAGTTAAAATAAATAAACAATTTGTAAATTAAATCAGCAGAGTTGTTAAATACAATCCTATACGTGCTGTAACTACTTCCATTGAGACACAAGTTTACGTTTTGTAATGTTAAAGTTGCACATAGCGGTTTTTAAAGGGGAGATTACA